CCTAACCCTACTCTACTCATGACCTTATCCACCATCCTAATTTCTAAGGCTAATTTCTAATCTTAATCATAATCCCATTCTTGAATCTCCTTTCGAACACTGACGCTAACCCTCTTTTTAGCCAAAATCTATAAGCATAGGTTTTAACTATATGCGTGAACCTAGCCATAACCCAGTAAATAATGTACAAGTCTAATTTCTAACCATAACCCTAACCCTAATCTCTAATTTCTGTCACGGAATCTCGAGTACTCCAGACGGATATACTACGCTGCTGCTGAGACCGTGAAAATAATCATGCTGTTATATTACAGGTGGACGGCTGGTGATAGTTCCTTTCGCCACGGATAAAGATAAGCAGTACACGGGAAACACGAAACGTATTAAGTGCAATGGCTACAACCTTTTGTCGAAAAAGTGCCGCGAATTGGTGAATAGAGGCGTTATTACTAAGGTATTTCCCATCGAAATAATACATAAGATAGGCTAATAATATTTAATCGAGTCATTTGGAAACCAAAAGTTCCTAGATAAATATTATAATAGGATCTCCAGCACAACCAAGACTTTCCTCGCCACTACACTAAGACGTAGATTTGGGGTTTTCATATAACCATTATGTACATATTTATCCTGTGTTGCGCGTACAGGAAGAGTTTCAGAACATGAACCACAACGCTTACTATCGCACAGAGGAAGAACTGGAGGAGCCTCTGATCAATGTTGATTCTCCTGTTTATAAGCTTGGCCTCCGCCTGGTATCGATTGAAGTAAAGCAAGTCAACTGCTACTTCCACGATAGATGGGTTGAAAGCGGCGATAATGGTTAGTAAATGCACATTAGTTAGACATTTATGTACTGAGCAGGTTTATAGGCTATAAATGACGATGTGTAGCTATGTAATGCGGTGAGGCAACAGTATTTTAGAGCCGGTTGTAGGCGACAGCAGTCGCTGAGAAAAGTGTCTGATCTCTTACAAGGTCCATCACACCCGACGCCCATTCGATAGACATCGCATAAGCTGTTCTTCATTAGTACATAGTTCCCTGCTTCTCCCTTACATTTTCCCCAACCTCAGAGTTCTTATGATTCCTTTTCGTATTTGCTATAGATATGATACATCATACAAGCCCAGCCTATGTTCTACATATATATCGGTCTCTCTTGCCTGCTCTCTGGGTGTGCTGTCGTTTCCTACTGGCTATACAGGCCGTTTAATTTGTCTCTTTTAGAGCTATAGTGGAGGTTGTCCATTCTCCGACTTAAGTAAACCCCCTGAATTGATTCATTTGAATTTGACTCATTAGTTGTAACAACCATATGCAATGCATCTTAAACTTTGACTTTTGCCTCGGAGAAGCTATGCTACCTTGGTGGTTGTACCATTTTGCTGCCCCCAGGTGGTCACCCCTTCTTCCTCTCGAAGTTGACAATTGTCAGAAATTGCCTTGCCCCCATATTCTATTTCTTCTCCGTGGATATAGGTCCCGCAGTTTGTCCGAGCATGGGCTACACCGCCATGGCACATTATGGTCACGATTGGCTTGATCAGAAAAAGTAGGGGATTTTCTGCACCCAGTCGCAGCATGGCTGGCTAGCAATCAGGCAGGTCTTTATTGCTGATGTTTGCATGGTTACTTCCAGCCTGCTCTGTTTAGCTGTCTACGACCACTGGGAGTCTTCCTTCTCCGCTAATTCTTGACCTACACTCATATCTCGGCCGTCTGGGTGTACACTCCCAAGCACAAGTTCCTAGGCATAATACTCGACTCTATTTGTCAGGGATGCACTAATGAAACAGGAACGCTCTAGTAACTAGAGTCTGTTTCAGTGGTACTAATATGACTTCTCCTCCTGTAAAGTATGAAGCATATAATTGCATAATTGTTTTCTCACACGAGCAAACTACCTTGGCATATAAATTATCCTGAGCAAAAGTGAGGTCAGCGCATTCTGTGATTCCTAAATCTGGATCAACTTACTGGGAAGAGTCAAGTTTCCGCAGGAGGCTCAGCTGTCTACCGATGTCTTCCAGACCAACGTCTAGCTACCTGTTAGACATGTCATCATCATGTCGGCACAATCGCACTTACATATCATACGGGTGCCACACACTCTCACGCTCTTCGCCACTATAGGTGGTGTCTACCCAGGAAACGTTAAGTTAGGAGGCCCGACACTGTTGCATACTCACACTGAGTAATGGTGGGTGTCTTTCTATCCATTAATAGTCTTCTACTGCAATCATATTTGTCCATGGGTTATTGCATAGTCCTGATACACACATATTTACATGATGTTTTATCGTACTGCAATAATGTATATAAATTATCGACGCCGCTACAGACAAAATGATGAGATAAATAATTCCTACCTGATGTGTATAGTATTTATCGTGTGCAACAGTTTTTGTTTGCGTTTTAGATATAAAAGACGTGAATGCTAATCATTTTATTTAACTGCCAGGTGACATTGCTGACGCCCGTGCTCACGCGAAGTCGTATGTTTGTACATTTCGCATTTGGGCGCACAGCGATTTGCTTCACGGTCTATCCGATAGCCGTTCACCCGAGGAGAAGGCAAATATCCTCGACGCCTTCTTCCAGAGTTTTGAGGATGCAGTGGCAGAGAATCCGCGAGACCATGGCAAGGATTATATTGTTGCTTATGTTCATATGAGAAAACTGGAATGATATTTTAGTAGATTTTAACACATGCAATTTGGTGTTTAATGGGGAATTGAAGCGCGTCATGTAGTTAACCAACAGTAAAATCACGTAATAATCTTCACTATATGTGATGGATCAATGCTCGGGGGTCTAAATACAAAAGTGTAAACTCACATAAATAACAAATAAATAAATAAAACTCAACATAGATAAGAATGCTGCGAATAGTGTACGTGGTAAATTAATTATCTATTGTGTGACGTTGCTCTCTTTCGTGACAATGCGGTCCTTCACCAACTCATGTTCTTGACACCTTTGTGTTCTCACCGCGTGTCATCATCATCGGGCTACTGATGAATCCCAGATTGGTTTTCACTTAATAGTAATCATCACGTGACCACCCTAGCATCTCCCCATGGATGCTTTTCATAGCAAAATCAACAACACAATAGCATCAATAATCTAATCTAAATTAAACTAACCCCTCTTCCTTTATTCCCATTGGGCACTTTATGTAAGTATTGGATAGCGCCATATTTCCCCCAACGCATGGGGAAGGCATGTCCTGGTGGCAACGACCATCATAAATTAATATTCTTTATGACTTTGAGTTCATTTGCCGGGTGAATAGTCAGATGCAGCTGATGTACGTAATAGAGCGAGCGTAGCAGCAGATCAAAGCAGAGGGGCGCAGCTCATGCAAGGGAAGGGAAAATATGACATTCACTGCTTGTACGTACCTGTGTCATTCACCGGTGTGGAGGAAACGCAAGCAAAATTGTGGTTCGAATCTCATTGGCTTCACTCACTCCCTTCGCAATCTTCATGTATGATCATGCTGACAATTATGATGCGGGTTGTAGGCAGGACAATTTTAATTCCGGCTAATGATTGCGAGCGTAGTGAGCGGAGCGAACGGCGCTTACTGTGCGCTGTACGATGTGATCAGATGATGATTTTACGCATAATTATTGTTGAAATTAAACTCAGAGTTGGTTTTTAAATTAATTTAAATTAGTGTATCAGTTATGATTATTTGTAGATTGCTCACTATGTTGAAGGTAATTTTACACAAACTCAATCATTTTTGGGCGGGTTGGAAGGATGTTATTTAAAGCGGCGTGCCGGTCGCGAAATTTTTTTTCCCAAACGGTATAACATAGCGAAGAATTTAGCGCCTTCTGATTGGCTGCTTCGATTTGCTTTGCCTTTGACAAGAGAACAAACGCCGATTTTGTTAAATGTTGTTTGTGTATGACGCTTAGATCAGTACGTTTGCTGCTGTATTTTCCATGGAAACAACGTATCTGTCCTCATTAATATAACATATAATATCACTATAATTGGCAATTTTTTCCTGCAAATGTGTTATTCTTCATCTCAATCTTAAGTTATGAGCAGCCAGAAGAGGGCCGGCTTGGGCTCTCGTAATATTACATACGCTTTCGTATGTACACGCACTCGCTAGCTGCTTCACGGTCGCAGCGACGGACAGCAGCGAACGCGCTACGAAGTACTACGTAGAAGCTACCGGCACGTGCTACCTCATAGTCACTAGGCCCTACGACAGCCTACTAAAGGCTATACGTGACTCGCGTAACTCGTTGGCATGAACGTATTGTGTAGTGAATTTACTTAGTACGCGTAGTAGTCGTAAGTCGTAACCTAGTGTCTTAACCTGGAGTGAGCCCTGAAACTTGTAAACTATCGGGACCAGCGGCACCGACATAACCAGAAACTCTGGCAGCTATAACTTATAGCCTAGATCCTCTCATAACTTAAGATTAAGAATGAAAATGAACAACCATCTTGCCACAAAGAATCTGCAATTATAGTATATTATATGTTATAATAATGACAGTAAAATTATGTGCTCTTTCATGGAAAATACATCAGAAAACTATACTTATCCAGATAGAGACGGGGTCTAGAGACGGAGGCGTTGCCGGAAAGGAGGATGTTGATCCCAAATCGCGCTCAAGCGCATGATCTTTTCGTCGCTAGCTTTTCGCGCAAGGCGCACGCGCACCGCGGGGAAAGGGGAACCGTCCTACGACCATGTATGGCAGGCGCTGGCCCAGCTTATGGAGTCGTGCGCCGAATGAATTGGCGCGGCGCACGATCCATAGCTTGCCAGCGAACAGTCCGCAATTTTAAGTGGGCGGGACACAGAGGGTAGACATTTGGCGACGTGAACAGTGTTGACTTGTTATAAAAAGTTAACGCCAGCTAATCTGTTCGTACCGCAGTCTGTGTCACGCGAATTCACAGAAAGACTGTCGAATTCTGACATTCGGCGAACCTTGCCCCAGTAATGCGAACGCTGTTCAGGACATCACGGACAACACCTACCGGCGCTTCTTCCGGCCCAACGCTGCCAACGTTTTTGCAACCGTTCTAATGGCGCAGGCGTCGTACGGGAGTTGCGAAAGCAGATGCGCGGCCTGCCGCCCCTATAGCCCATAGACTGGCACTCTCTCGCCCAGTCTGGGTTAGCTTAGTCACTCAATTGGTAATCGATCCCTGCGCGGGTGCGGAGCGAGTCCTAGTCGGTATATATAACCCTTCCTTGCAAAGAGAGTTAGGCCATTATACTAGAAACATTAACAATTTCGTACGTAAATAGCATTTCGTATTACGTTAGCATTACTATTGTTATTGAAAAACGCCTTCAGAGTGCCTGTGTCTAGTTATAGCCCCTAGGGGTATGTCCTACCCTAGGCAAAAGGAGCGCTTTCTTTGCTAGTTCGCTAGTAAGTCTTAGTAGTTACTAGTGTTCAAGGATGTAGAGAACCATGGCTCCCACACTCATTATATTGGCGCCCCCCAATGTATGGCATGGGCAATACAAACCAAGTCATTATACGATCAAATATAAACTTATAATATTATTCAATATAATTATCCGTTGGGTTATGGTTGCGGTTGTCCATTTATAAGTTAATTACTCGGAGTAACAGAGTTTAGTCCATTTATTAACTATTACATATATTAGCTCCTGCGCGTCCCTGGTAGTTACTAAGCTACTATCGTCGGTGGCGCTATGGGGTTGACACACATGCGATTTTCCCACGCGCTGTGGTCTAGCACGTGGAAGACTTTTACTTCTGTTCTCGGCTTGTCCATTGCTCGTTCGCTTCCTACGCGAAATGTAGGACGGGTGAGTGCGGAGTAAGCCAGAAAACGTGCAGAGTGAAATGAACGCAAGTGCCCCCCTTCTATATAGTCATTAATATAGAACTGATAGACTGTTATGTCTAACATTGATCGGGATAACATGCCCGAATAACACAAACGCTCACTGCACGCTTCGCTCTTTCAAATATGCGTCTTAGACTATAGTATATCAACTGGTATGCTCGGAGCCACCGTTGTTTACGTTAGTATGCTCGATCGTTTAGGGCGCGATTACACGTTTACTTCTTTAGCTTCTCTATATGGTTTCAAGTATGTAGCCGCAGACAACGCCGCGGTCTCTGTTCATTCTTTCCAGCCGCTCCGCTCGCGCGACGTGCATTTGCGACTGTGCTACGGGTCGTCTGTCGTCGGACCGGTTCTCTCTGGCCGCTCGTCTCCGTGTTGGGGGGGGTTGGCGTGTGAACGCGGGCTTATATATTCTGGAGTTTCATTTATAGTACTGCGTAGTGCAGGTAATTTGTTTTATGCGATTTATTACTTTTACCAAGTATGCCCTAACTTCACATTTAGGATAGTTATCCTCGTGTATTACTAACGACTGAATGGCACATTCAACAGAGTGTTTCTTGTAATTTCTAGTGATAGTCTCCCCTGTTTCGTGTGTCGGCATATAGCTTCCTTAGTATAATATAAGGTACTACCTTTCTCGCGCCGGCTGTGTCCGGGCCTTCGCAGGGTTCTCCCTCGACGGTGCGTGTGCGTGGCTCTCCGTCCGACGGCTGTGTGTGCCGTGCGTGTCGTGCGTGCGTTTGTCGTTTGTCCGTTCGTCCGTTCGTTTGTTCGTTCGTTTCGTTCGGGTCCTGTGTGTGTGTCCGTTCGTTCGTTCCGTTTGCTTGTTCCGTCGTTTACTGGGGTCCTCGTTCGTGCTCGTTAGTTCCCTTCGTCAATCTATCCGCGAAGGTACGATGATCTCCGGTTGAGTGCGTGGCTAGTTCGTGGCCGTCCGAAGGCAGCCGCAGCTGACTGTTCACCTAATTGGGATGATCTTGGCCGTTTTATAATAGGATGCCCCGCGTGTGCGTAGCGGGATAACGGCGCCGCCCCTTCCCTTGTCCCCCCCCTGCCGGTGTCTAAAAGTGATGATGACCTACGTCGGGGCTCTGGCCGGGTTGCTTCCCTGGAGTCTGTAAACACAGTGTACAGGTGCAACCGCGTGTCAACCCCCCTGGCAATTCTGGAGTCATACGCACGACGGCCGTTCGGTGCCGTATACGCCGCCCCTTGTCTGCCACTGTGCTGCCTCGGCTGGCGACACGTCAGTCGTTCTCCCCTGGCTTTTGTTCGTACGTAGGCGTGCCATTCCTCTGTGGGACCATCCCACATCGGCCTGCGTTACCTGGGGAGCCCCGCCCTTCCCCAGAAAGCAAACTCTCCATACTCTGTTTTGGCGGTGGCATTTGGTTCTTGGACAGTCTGCAGCGCGGCCGATACACACCCTGCGCGGATTACAAGGCACTTTGCTTGAAAGAATATGCGGTGAATATTCTCTCAAAGCGTGGACCCTTCCTAACGTGTCGACCGTGGGGCCCATCCATTGACCGAGCGTATGTTTAGGCGTCAGTTGTTTAAGGAGTTATTTGGCATAATCTCCGCCTGGCAATTAGCAGCTGCGAGTCTAGGTATCAATGGCGAGCACCATGCAAAGTCGTGACATATGACCTTAATTGTGCCATCGAACATATCTGTTTTGGCCTCTCATCTATACACACTAGTACTCGCCTGCATAAGGGCATATCTAGGATATTTTCTCTTTAGTGTTATATTTACAGCGGTAAAAATATGGTGAATTAGTAAATTATGTGTGTGGAGTGGTTGATCGCAGAATCACATGCTTATCATTCTACTCTATCATTGAACCTGAATAATTGGCTTCGGGGTCCAAA